TCCAATTGAATCTGTTCGGTTTTCAGGGAAGCTGGATGATGACTCGTGCAGTCGAGGATTTAATCGTCTGCCATTCGTTCCGGCACCGGGGGCGGGGTTCATAAAAAGATCGTCGTCATCGGACAACGTGTTACACTTTTTATCCCGTTTACAAAGGTGAGCCGAGACTTCCCACGAAGTGAGAAATGGTGGATAATGTGACAAAATATAATAATTTTCAATAGAACGGAGCTTCTGTTCCCGTACCAGGGGACAATTTTAAAAACGTGGCATTCAATAACCTATATTGTGATTATAATTTCATTTGATAATCGATTGACGCGTTATTGCTTCTTTTTAACAATATTCCACTTTAACGTGTAATAATTTCCATCGTGAAATATATTTCATCTGAAATAAAAGGAGTAGCAAACCTAGCCAATGTCATTTCAACAATGTCGACAGATTGTTTTTTTTTTTCTTTCTTTTCTTTTCTTGTTAACTGTAGAGATCAGTAGAGAGGCAAATCTGTTTCCCAAGCGCTTTTTCGAACGATGTCGGTGGATGTCAGGGCTCATAAAGTTAACTGGCAATCTGGAGGGCCAACTCGTCGGGTCGACATAAGGTCAGGCGATAAGCTGCTAGGCGCAATTAGTACTAGGCAGCTTTATTTCCCTAATTCTCATTTTAATCAAGGCGATGCCCGTGTTTGTGCCGGGAGCAGAGCATTGTCTTCGTCGTACTTTTGTGTCGCACGGATGAATAGGCCCCTTCCGGAACTCGTAATCAGCCGTTACGCGCTTTTCAATTACACCCACGTTAAACCGTTTAAATGGCACTGCGGAGGGTAGCGCCTTCTTCGGATACTTTTTTTTTTTCTTCTTCTTCTTCCTTTGAATTCGTTCCATTGGTTCTTTTGCTTCTATCTAACTCCAGTTCGACTTGCTTGAGTTACGACAGCTCACGATCGATGAATTATCATCGAAGAAATTTAATAGAGAATTTTTCATTTTTCTGAATCCACGGATGGATTAATTTGTATTGTTTTTGATTCCAATAGCGGTATTGTTAAACTCACTTGAGTTTAGTGAGGTATCATTAAACAGATTTTGATTTAACTTACATTAATCGATGATTAATGAAAAAATTCGGAAGAAATTCGAAGGATATTGGATAAAGAATTTCAATTCATTTTAAATCCGTGGATAGACGATGTCAATTTTTATTTTATTATAGAAATAAAAACCAAAAAAAAAAAAAAAACTATATACCGCAATTTTGTTAATAACGTACTAAGAAAGAAAAAAATATTTCGTTTCGTAGATGCAAAGGGATCACAAACCGTGTCTGGATGTTACAAAAACAGTTTGAACAAGGTGCAAAAGCAAAGAGGGATCAAGGGAAAACCGTGTTTGAGAAATAGTTCGAAACGTATTGGATAAATATTGAACTGCTTTCCAGGATTACGGAGTGAAAGTTGAAAGAGGAGCGGTCAATCCATCGATCACTTGTTTGACTTACCACGCGTGCTCCGGCCGGAAATAGAAAATAGTTCTCGTGTCTGTTTGTCGATCCTATTTGCGCAAGCTGACCCTTCAGGACCTCTTCACGGAGGTTTCCAAAGAGTTCTGAAGAGATCCTCAAAGGACCGAGCACGCAGATGTTTATTTTGACGCGACGAACTGCCTCGGGAGTCACGATTCCTCGAGTGGTACAATTTTCCCTTGCGCTTACACCGGATCCCTCTTGTCACTTCAGCAACTGAAACCATTAGTTCATCATTTTCATTTACAACTTTTATTACAAGGAGTTTCTTAACACTAAAACTAACGAAGCTAATTCGCAGACGATTCAACGATTCTTCTCTGCCGGATGATTTTTGTGATAAATTTACCAAATTCTACCGTACGTGTACTTAACCTCTTGCGTTGGAACGACACACATCGAGAACTTTTTGTCCCAAAATTGCAACGTTCTCTCAGTTTTAAGTAAATTTAAGCAAAATAATTAAATTTATTTACTTCTCAATGATTTCTATCCAGCGACATCGTACCGACGAGTTCAAAAGGAAAGCGACGAATTATCGTGTACGATTTTGGTCGCTCGTTATGGTTCGCAATCGGTTGCCGACGCAATTGGTTAAATTTTATTGCCAGCAAAACAAGCGAAATCAAACTAAAAATCCTAGATTTCAATGATTCAACGTGAACTACTGAAATTATTGTTCAATATTTGAAAATTGAAATTGAGAGTAAAAATATTTCTGAAAATAAAAGTTAAATACTTCGAATAGACGTCGCCAACTATACTGTTAATGTTGTTCTATTTTCTTCCTATAGTTTTTAAAATAATGTCATTATTACTTCTCAATGATTTCTATCCAGCGATATCGTACCGACGAGTTCAAAAGGAAAGCGACGAATTATCGTGTACGATTTTGGTCGCTCGTTATGGTCCGCAATCGGTTGCCAACGCAAGTGGTTAAAAAAATAATCCTAAAATTCGCGAACAATCGTCTAAGAAATTACAACGATACATCTCATCTTTAAGAAATTTTCAAAATTATAGAATCCCCCTAAAAAAAATCATGGCAGGTGGTGATATTTCATACGTATAGCGTAAAATTTTAGTCCCACGTCCCAGTTAATTGGATTTAATCCAGTTTATCCGTTTTTCAACTGATCGTCGGAAGTGGAACGAAACGGAGTGTACGGAGTGAAAAGGAACGGAACCAGCGAGCAAGGGACAAAAGGGAAAAAAAAAAAAGAGATAGCGGATCGGAAGAAGCTTCCTCGGAGAGGCTCGATTACACGGTTACTTTGTCTTCGTGAATAGAGGAGGACGTTGGTCATGGCGATCGTGCATCGATGAGCAACAACGAGAACAACGACGAGAAAATGGCAACGGGGCATCAGCGCGAAACCGCATAAAAGAAACTTGCCAGTTCGCGTTTTGCAACCGTTCGCGTTCATTTCTACCTCCTTTCTCTCCAACTTTCATTGAAGCGTCTTGTTCAACACGCTCGCAAGAAGATATTTGCAAACTTGTAACACCTCTGTATGTAGGTGTTAAATTTAGAATAACCGGATTAACGGATTGTTACAATTTTGTCTAAACGCGCAGTAGCAAAAACTATGTTTCAAACTATGTCTCTTACTTGTACTAATTACCACATCTGGAGTGACGAATAGAGAGTGTTTTATCTCTTCTTTCTCGCAAGATGTATAAAAATTTGCACATGTAATTAATACATACGCTCGTGAAACACTGAGAATCATCTAGTTAAAATTTTAATCGATATAAAATTCGCTTTCACCACTTCAAATGTCCTGTACTTGGAAATCTAAGATTTTTTTTTTTTTAAGCAAACGTTTAGATTATTCTTTAATCTAAAAATCTAAAATCCGCATCGCGCGGATTTTAGATTTCGACTCAGACGTGAAAAATCCGAGGAGCGCAACAGGGTTTTAAAGTCGAACGAAGGAGGATCCTCCAGCCCCGCCGTCTCTCAAAGAAGCGGAGAGAAGAAGTTGGGCGAGTTTTTTTTTCCACCGGTATCGATTCAAGACGGCGTATAATTCGATATCGATACCGTAATCCTATATCTAAGAGGCACACGCAAGGTCTCGTCACGTTGATCGCCGACCACGCGCATCGGTTGACAATGCTGTCGAGGATACGCGGTGGCCAGACGATAACGGTTCGCCTTGTACGGATGCTGGACGGCTCGCTGAATTCGCTGGAGCGAATTCACCGTGTCACGGGACATTATTTCAACGTAATCGGTCGGCTCGCGAATGCGGCCGGCAACAATTTGCAGTTCCACCACTGGAACAACCGGTGAAAACGCTGTTTCTTTGCCTTTTTAAATAGCGGAACATACAATTTAAGCGTAGAATACATTTTATTACACAATATCGATGTAATTTGATTGTCAAGAAAATTAACTAATTAATTAAGCATCTGTATATATATAGTATATTATGGCACTGACCATAAAGGAAAACTGAACCTAATTTTTTACCGCTCTAAGCTTGATAATAAATGATGCAAGGAACTTAACGATGCCTTTGTTATATTCTACAATTATCGAATCTTTAATAAAGTTTTCAGAAAAGAGTAGAAAAATTTTCCGGAAAATTCACAACACCATGAACAACTTGGATCGTTACAAGAATTTAACACGCTTAAGTTAATGTTAACAACTGTCAATTAATTCGTCAACAACTCTCGTCAGAGATATAGAATTAAAACGAGAGGATTATTTCCATTTTTTCATCCTGGTAAAAGAACTTTTAAACTCTTTTAACGTTCAAATTAAATTCGTAGATTCTAGAAGAGTCTTTACCGGCGTGTGTACACGCTGACGGAAAGCAGCACGTGCTAGCTCGTTCCTTACGTGTACGCCTGCCAGCTGCAAATATCGTGCCGAGGTCCAACGAAATCCACGCGTTGTGCACGCATGCAGAGTAACGGAGAACACGGGATCCATCTGGCGTGTGCGTGACCTCCTTGAATTATCGTGACTCCCGGCCGACACTTTAGGACTCCACTTTTGGCCATTTCCTACTTCGTCCTTTTCATACATTCCTTCGAGAACCTGGCCGACGTCTGTCCAGAATTACAACCATTTCTCGTATCCAGCGAAATATGTAATAACGCCATTGTTATTTAAATCGTACGACGTAGAAACCCAGAGAAAAGAGTTCTTTTTCTTCTCTTCTTTACGTTCATCTCGCACATACGAGTAATAATTATTAGAGGATGTGCGAGAAGCCGAAATATCATTTTAATATTGAATTTGACACACAGATTTTGAAATACACGTCCGGACTTGTAGAGTCTCTCAGCGATACTGCTCAACAGCGTACATAATATTCAAGTAATAAGCACGCAGTCGCACGTTCGTTTACATCAGGTCACAACGATTCTTAGAATCCGTGTTTCCAATAACTTCACTGGCAGAAGAACCTGAACTGTGTATTTACATATTTTGTAGGCTGCTGTACAGTATTGTAGAGTAGTTCTCGAAATTTTCGCTAATAATTATATTCTATAACAAAATGAACATGAAATAAAATGGAAGAATTAAGTTAAGACACTTAGGTAGACAAAAGAGAAGCATAGTTAAGATAAATATAAGTATAGGATAAAGCAAAATTTCTCGAAATTTTCGGGAATCCCGCACAGCCCTAATAATTATATTCTATAACAAAATGAACATGAAATAAAATGAAAGAATTAAGTTAAGACACTTAGGTAGACAAAAGAGTAGCATAGTTAAGATAAATATAAGTATAGGATAAAGCAAAATTTCTCGAAATTTTCGGGAATCCCGCACAGCCGTAATAATTATATTCTATAACGAAATGAACATGAAATAAAATGAAAGAATTAAGTTAAGACACTTAAGTAGACAAAAGAGTAGCATAGTTAAGATAAATATAAGTACAGGATAAAGCAAAATTTCTCAAAATTTTCGGGAATCCCTAATAATTATATTCTACAACAAAACATGAAATAAAATGAAAGAATTAAGTTAAGACACTTAGGTAGACAAAAGAGTAGCATAGTTATGATAAATGTAAGTATAGGATAAAGCAAAATTTCTCGAAAATTTTCGGGAATCCCTAATAATTATATTCTACAACAAACTAAACATGAAATAAAATGAAAGAATTAGGTTAAGACACTTAAGTAGACAAAAGAACAGCATAGTTAAGATAAATATAAATATAGGATATAAAAAATATTATGTAAATATTATAACATGTAAAAGCTAGGATGAATGCAATGCGAGAATTGTGCAATGTAAAAACCAAAGTCAATTTCAAGGCCAATGAGGCTGAAATAAAAATATATACCTATACATAATTATATTCTATAACTTGCTATATGAGTACACTGAGATGATATATAATACTTCTATTAACAAATATTAAACAAATTATTGGAACTTTCATTTAATATAATAATGTAATATAATACAATACTCTCACACGCACAGCAATCTCTATTCCAGTTTCTCTGGACTTCTGTAAAATCATAAAATTTCGGTGAATGAAATGAACAATGACGAAGAAGCTAAAGCTAAAATTAACCAAAGTCCTGTTATCAAAAACACGATAATGTAAATCAACTAAAAAGAAATGAAATTCGTTTTACTAATGGAACATTGATCCTTAACCCCTTGCAAACTGATCCGCGGACCATAACGAGTGACCGAACCGTATACGACAACCCGTCACTTTCTTTTTCTCTTGAACTCACCGGATAAAAATTACCAAGAGGTAAATAAACTTATCGTTTGTTTTGCCTTTGGTTTTACATTTAAATATACTTAAACGTGAGTTAGTCCGCGCAGCGTGCAGAAGATACGAACACGGTTTCAATTTTCTGTCGACGACAGACGCAAGAGCCTAGACAATAGTTGAAAAACGTGATACTATCGATTAACTATGCGAAAGTACCGCCTTCCCTCTCGTCCTTTGTCCCCTTTTCATCCCGCGGGTACGTATCCTCTCCCTTCCTCGGCGCGTCGTCCCCTCTTGCTAAAAATTTCACGTGCACCCCGTTACGTGTTTCACGTATGCGCGACGAGGAACGAAAGAGGGGACCGATTCACCCCTCGCGGCAGCTTCCATCCCTTACCTATGGCCAATCGTAGCTCGTGCACGCCCAGTGACGTCAGTTTCACCCCTGTGCACCGTAATTAGCCAATCCCATCGCCGGGTGGCCACCATCCAACCCCTGGCACCGTTATATTTACGAGCCAATGATTTCTACAGTATTCGACTGGTCCTCTATAACGTCGCGTGTGTCCGTGCGTGTACGTGAACACGCGTGTCGTGTGTCGAAATTGCAAAAGACAGCAACGGCACAATGGTCCCTCTCTCGTTTTTGCTTCCTTTCCCCCTTGGGTCGCCCAGTTCGTTCGAGTTTCTCGCGTTTCTCCCGGACCTTTCCATCTCTTTTCCTATTCTCTTTCGTTTCCTTTTTTCGTATTCCACGTTTCTGTACAGCACCGCGGAGAAAGTTTTCGGGCGATGTTTATTTTAAGATGGGAAAAGAACTGTCGAGCAATTTTATCATTCGCCAAGAGTTTCGAGGGCGGACAAAATTTCCGAGTGGAGAGACTGTTTTTATCTTCGAAATGAAATGTAAAAAAAACATCTTCGAGAGAAACGAACTCGGCATTGCGAGAGTGGAGATTTCACACCGTTGAATTATTCTGTGATGTTTTTTTTTTTCTTTTTCTTCAATTGTAAAAAGTTTACTGTATGTTTTTTTATTCGCTTCTTTGTCATTACTTCATCTCGCAGCTTATATTTTGATCAGTCTTAACGATCTATTTGTTGAAGTATTTCGCAACAAATTCAAAGAGAATAATTATAATTATCTAGCTTGATCGCTAAGGGTATTAGACTTTCGTGCAGTACTGTACTTCTTTTCGCTTGCGTATAAACCTCGTTCCTTTTTCGCCTACTCGCTTCTCTCCCTTCTTTGTTTCAGGAGGTGGAATTATTCACACATGATGTACAGTTTGAGAGAACTTTCTCCAAGAAAGTTAAAAAAAAACGGCGTTAAAATAGAAGAACGCAAGAGGAGATGTTAGGGGATGTTTCGCGACACGAAGATATATATATATATATATGTATGTGAGTTATGTTCTACAGAAGTTCGGTGTTTTTACTACGATGAAATATTCATGGACATTTTCGTTCGTTGTTCTCTGATTTCTGATGTAACGTAAAAATAAGTGAAATAAATCTCACACACATAACATCTTAACACATTATATGTAAATTTTTGTAAAATTTCAAATCTCACATACATAATATCTTAACACATTATATGTAAATTTTTGTAAAATATCTACTATTTTAATCTATTCTTTCTTCAATACGTTTACTGTTAAAGCAACACACGGTAAATTCTTCTGTTTATACTTTTCAATCATTTTTACATCAAACTTTACACGTCGTTCCACCGTTCGATCTTCGACCGAACGGCGTTTTCATTTAAATAAACTAGATCAACCAACTACCATAAAAATTAAATATTCCAGTCCACAGAGAAAACATATAAATCGCGTGATAATTTAACACACCAATGAATCAATATTACAATCATTTCTACATCAGACATACACTGTCATATTTCATTCTTCTAAAGCTCCAACCTATAAATCTTTACTATCGACACATGCTGCATCGTGCACGCACAGCATCATTCACAAAGGAAACGAAGAGAGAAAAGAAAAGAAAAGGAAAAAAAAAAATATGGAGAGTTGAATGAGCTTTCTTCCTCTCCACGAAGAAGATCTCCAACAGATAGTGATTACATACTGCAGAGTATACGATGACGAGTAGAGAGACGCGAAGAAGAAAAAAAAAAAAACGAAGGAAAAGAAAAGAGAGGAGGAACGGCTTTGAAGATCGATGACAATAAAAGACGCGGATGCCGATGTATACACGAATCATCGATCGCCGAGCGTAGGTGTGTTTGAGTATCGCTTTCTACAGTTAGGGATAATCCGCTTACTCGGGGCCAGCCCTGTCGTCCACGTCGTTCACGTCGTCTTTGATGGTATTGTTGCCGGCGTTTTGTGAGAAAACAGCATTTTCGACGCTCGAGGTGGCGACAAGAAGAGGGCTTAACTTATCTCCGTCACAACAAGAACAGGCCGGTCTTCCTTTCACGTGGGAGGATTCCTCGTCCTCGTCGTCTTCTGTCTGTCGGACAGTGCACCTGACTCACCGTCGCAACATTAGTGCACATTACCTAAGAACAAAGGCAATTTAGTAAAGAACGAAGCGTGGAAATTCCTACTGAATTCATATTCGCACAACATCTCAGTGACATCACTTCACTAAGGGAGAGGACATCGAAGGATGTCATTTATATCATGTTAAAATTGATTTTCAAGCATACATGCTCGTTTGGATTGAAGCTTGAAATCAAGGAATTCTATTAAATTTGATCTTTCGAAGCACTCTGAAGCATTGAAATACTTGGATTTGCGAATATTCATGCAGTTTTATCTTTTTTCATAAGGAATTAAAGAAGTGAAATCTGGATAGAAACTTGTTCGGCCTGTTAAATATTATAAAAGATACTATTTTAAATGTATTGAGTCAATTGATCATTGGTGCAAACAGTTGGTACGAATTGAATTCGACCTGTTAAATATTATAAAAGATACTATTTTAAATGTATTGAGTGAATTGATCATTGGTGCAAACAGTTGGTACGAATTGAATTCGACCTGTTAAATATTATAAAAGATACTATTTTAAATTGAGTCAATTGATCATTGTGCAAACAGTTGGTACGAATTGAATTCGTTGTCGCAATGCAAACGATTGGTATGCTCAACACTTAATTGAAGTCAGACAATTATTGGAGTTTGAAACAGATGCTATGTGTAACAGTGTCTGTCAAAAAATATTATATTATACATCTGTAAATTTCTCACAAACGCGTGAACGTGTACAACGTTCAATAGAAAATGTACAAATATAGAATTTGGAAGTTCTTCCTGTCTCATTTCAATTTATATTCACTCGAGACAAAAAAAAAAAAAAAGACTGTTTTCGATGCAACGATAGTTCGTTTCAGCCGATAGCTTTCGCTGGTATGATTTCTCTGATCGATGAAGGGGTTGTTGCAGGACACGGTTACCCCTCTCTATGCTCCTATAATCCCATGAATACATAATCTAGATGCAAACAGCCGCCACGCGTGGCTCGTTTTAGAACGGCCGTGATATTTCACGGATTACGAATGTTTGCACGAACATTTCACGGTATCTCGATCGTACTGCCGAGATTTTCCATGCAAGGATCGCGATCAGCGACGATGCATCTCTTGCCTTTTTTTTTTAATCGCCTGAAGTCTCGTGTCTCCTTTGTCGTCTACAAAAAAAAAAAGAAAAAAAATGAGACGGAAGTTGATGGATGAGTTTCACGAACGATAGTCATCGACGATACAACAGAGATTCGACTTTTCCTTCGTTTCACACTTTGTGTGCATAAAGTGACTCGTGAACCTTATAGATTCCACTTTATTCACATGTTAATCAGCGTATTTTTATGTAGAAAAAAAATATGTATATATATATATATAAATGTAAGTTCTCGAAAATTTTTTACTTTCACCGATATCATTTCTGCTAAATGAAGAGAAAGGAATTAGCACTATTATATTTTCTATTGAATGGAAAGGAGGGAATGAACGTAAATGTTCTAAATTTTCTGTAGAATTATTATTTGCTTTTAGCGAACTGTCCGTACGCGGACGTTCAGTTTGTTTTTCGCGGCCGATCCTTAAACGCTATAACGTCGATTAGTTTTTTTTACGCATTTGAACGAGAAACGCCGTACGGGAACGAAGAGAATTGATAAATCTTACGACAGTCAGAAAGGCAAACTCGTTGAGACACACAACTAAATTCACTATGAAAAATCTTACAAAATTGTTTTCCTTCTCTTCTGTATACTTTGATTTTAACGCCTTGTAAACAATTTAGTTGACAAATCAATACGCCAAGAATATTCCAACGCGAGACCATAAATTTCCGTCGGCATATTTAAAATATTATTTCAAATGGAAAAAACGTTATCACGTTTTCGAGATATAGAAATGATAAATCGACACGTGTTCTTAGTTAATTTATTCATTAATTTCTTATTTGAAACATGTCTTCGTTTTTGATATCATTTCGTCTCTAGGTTTATTTCAGGACATTTGATTGTTTTGTACAGATACTAATTCAATTCATGGTTTATATAATGTCTTTCGTTTAGAGTGACATTTTGAATATGCTCTGAAAGAAATTTGTCAATTTCGCCATGGAATATTTTGTATGTCTTTTGTTCCTTTTTTTTTTTTTTTTTCTTTGTAATAAAATTGGAGTCACGTGTTAAAAAATAGGAATACATTGAACAGAGGACGGTACTAGTCTAAAATTATTTCAATTCATTGCTCTCGCTGCATTAACACTAATTAGGCATATTAGGAAAGTAAATTTAACGAACAATTCAAAGTTATTTGAAAACTGCACGATCTACTTATCTACGTTTCTGTGTATCTATATTATTATTATTATTATTGTATCGTTACTGATCGTTAGAAAATGTATCGGTTCAAGTTGAGTACTCGAATACAATAAAATTTTGAAATTTCTTTTACACGTAGTACCGTATCCCATAAATTGTTAAAAAAAAAAGAAAAAAAAAATGATAGACAATATAAAATAGTTAAAAATCGTCCCTGCGCGTTCAGGCCTTTAATCCTTTGCACTGGTGTGATCGCAAATAGTACGAGGAAATAGTACGATTAATATATATATATATATATATATATATATGTATATATATAGAAAATATCGTTATTGTTATTTACATTAACGTACAAAACTAGAACGTTCTAGTAGACGATTAATAAACTCGTATGATAATTAATCTTCGTCCTGTAACCATTTCGTAATTAATTGTGTTACGTAGACCGTTCGTACGATTACAAGTATGCGTGATCGTAATTTATTATCGTGATTATTATTAGTAACGATCGATAAAACTCGCTGCTTTCGCAAAGCGAGACGTCCCTTAACAAATACGAAAGAAGAAGACGAAAAACATAAAATAAAATGAAAACGATAGAAGAACTTTCGATTCTCCTTTGATCGTCTTATGCGTAGCGATAGTTTTTACTGTTAAAAGGAAAAAGGAAAGAACAAAAGTGTCTTTCTACGTACGTACGATTAAACTGGCACGATGAAAATGATATACAAAACCAAAAAAAAAAAAAAATTATTAAAAAAAAAATATTATAACAAAACGATCTCTACGAGCTATGATATCGTGTATGTTCACAACACGCGGAGAGTCGGAATCACTTGTTGTTAATTGTTATATATATATCTAGATATTTTACGTTCGATTAAACCTAAGTTTACAATCGTAAGCTCTACGATATCCGTTTCGGTGTGTCGAGTTACAATTAATTGAGCGTAGACAGCTCGTAGTATTTGTTCGTTAGGAGTGCAAAGGCTTAAAACAACGAAGGCGATTTATGTATATGTACATCGTGGTCGAACAAGAGGAAACGCGAACAAGAGGACGCGCTTCGTTCAACGTTCTTTCGTTAACATCGTTAACATTTTGGCTGCAAAGCACTTCTTGTTTGGAATACATTGGATTAATAATAAGTATGTGGCTGATAGAAATCTTTCAGGATTATTAATCCTTGGCAATTTCACAAAAATTGATGACTCTTTGACGAGTCGGTTTTACAGTTGTGAAGTGTAACAGAGACCACTGACAAGAATTTCTCAGTTTCGAAGAGCGAGGAAAGAAACTTCAGCTTGCGTATATATAAAATGTAAAGTTAATTATGTATAAAAAATGTAAAATTAATTTGCTCAACTTCAAGGTCTGGCTTAATTTAATTAAATAATTAAATTAAACGTGAAGCAGAGATTCTTATTAATCTGGATCAGAGGAACTTGGTAATAAATTTTTATGGAAGAGAGGTTTTAAAACGTGAAACGATTAGTTGGAAAATTTTGGCAGAAGATATGTCAAAAAATTGCAACGCTCGCAGCCAAATTGTTAACGAACGCATCCGTAAGTGACGATGACCAAAAAGGAATAATACACACACTCACACTTCCTCTCGCGTGGCTCTCGCACTTTCTCTCCCTTACAAAAATACGGTTGGACGGAACTGACGACGAGTTAGTCTCCTCGTGCTTTCTTTTCTTTTATTTTCTCTTGCTTCATTTTCTTTTTTTTTTCTTTTTTTTATTCTTCCTCTCTTATTCTGTTGCTTAATTAAAAAATACGTATCGTTAAAATACGTTAAAATACGTATCGAAGATCGACTTTTGAGCGCTCCGAATCGTTCCTTTGCCATCTCTGTTCCATCTGAGAATTCTGTGGGATCGAAGAAGGACGAACAACAATTAAAAAAAAAAAAAAAATCACACTGCTTCATCTCTCCTTAATATATAGAATTATCCTCCAGTTACATTCTTTCACAATTCAATCAAAAACGTCTTTCAAAAACTACTCTAAAACTGCCAAAAAAGACTGATATGCAACAGGATCACATAAAATATCGATGATTTTCAGCGGTAAAGGGTAAATTTACTTGATCATGTGGTATAAAAAACAGATTATTTGTAGAATTCGTACGTGAAAATAGAAATTACTGTACACGATACGCATCCGAAATGGCTTCTACCAACTTTCTCGTAACGTTGAAATGACTTTGAATAACGCAGCAGTAACTGGGCGATCGGTATCATCCAGTTTCTAGTCGTTCGAAAGTCTCTCGTCGATTAAAAATACTGATATCAAACAGTCGAAAAATACAGAGAACGATCAAAACAATCACCTCTCTCGACATTATCTTTCTCTTTCTTGGACACACCTACGAAAAGGGACTCTTAAATGAAACGCAAACGTGCTCGTCTCTTCTCGGATAAAATATCTTTCTTCTCGTTTAAATCGTTTTTAAAAATAACGCTACGTAGTCTTTTTTATTCTTGTTCTTTTTGTTACACTCTGATCCCAAAATTATCACTGGAACACGATGTCGGTGCTTCTACGGCACGCAAGAAAAGAAAAAAGAAAGAGAAAAAAAAAAAAAAAGAAATGAAATCCAAAAATCTCTCCTGAAAAGAACATTATTCTCCCTCTTCATATTCAACGACCGATTTCTACGACAAAAAAATATCATTGTACGCAGTTTGTAAAAGCTGTTTAGGTACAAGCGATTTCACGTCTCGCAATCTCGATTTAAACGTCGTTTATAAAACATATTGCTACTTGATAATATGAATTGTCCAGAAGTGTTGCTCGATCGAAAGTACATATTTCATTTCACTTCGATACCGAGTCATCTTGGACCGTTGTATTTCTGCTATGAAATCTCTCGTAATACGGCGTAATTTCGAAACTCGAGATAAACTCGCTGGCGAACGGACGAAATAGTAAGACGGAGAAAGGGGACAAGTTAAACTGGGACGAGTGAAAAAAAAAGAGACGAGAATCGAACTGTGAACGTGAAACGATCGATTCGTCCCACACTTTGTACAGAGGAAGATTCAAAAAGATCCTTTGGCTTCGTTTGTTCAACAAGATCTTCTTGTTTCTTGAATTGTTCCGATTTCTTCGCTATTCTTTCACGAGATTTTTCTATCTGTTTCGATCTGTGCTCGCTTTCAGACAATTTGTAAAATTCTGGGAACAACACGTCGAGAAGCAAAAGACTGTAACAAATAGAAGAGTATGTAATAAAAAAGGAAAATAAACTGAAATATTCTCGTCTCTTTTCCGTATAATTATCCTTAATTCGTATAATTATTCACTCGGTTTTCGTATCACCATCGATGCTCGAAGCTTCAGAGAAGCTGTTTTAAAGTTTTTTCACTCTCTGTGCTTCTTTCACTCGCGAGGAGCCTCGACATAATTTTCTCTTTTCTATCGTTCGTATATTCGTGCGATATATCAGGGGTTTCAATACATATACCTACAATCAGAGTACATTCATTTTCTCCTTTTTCTTCTTTTTTTTTTTTTCTTTTTTTTTTTTTTTTTTTTTTTTTTTTATTATTGAACGGACGCAAATGGCTCTTGCAAAAATACAATTTGTTATCTCATCTCTTTCCGTTACCTCTAGAAAAACGTGTTACTAATTATCTATTTTATACTTGTTAATTAACTCACTTGTTAAGCATTTTCGTTCTTTCTTTTTTTTCTTTTTTCCTCTCTCTTTTTACGCGTGTCTGTGTATATTTTATGTACTCCATCGGAGTTACTCGTTTGTGTAAATTAACACGGGACTGGCAAGAAGGCCGTCAATAATACCGCGAGATCGCGTTTCCCTCACGAACGTAGAAATTGCAACGAGAAAAATTTCATCATCCCGGTGTCATTTGATTTTTACTTGCCATTTATTACAGAGCAGCGCGTGCTTTTATATATAGCGCAATATATCATACAGAACGTAGTACAAAGAGACAGAGAATGATCGAAAACAAAGAATAAAATGTTTCTGTTCAAACCTTCGTTTTCAAGAAATTTTCCAGCTTCAAGTCTATCAAGTCATCTGTTTTATCTACTTTTAATCAAACAATTACGATTGTTTCGTATAACAACCGTAAATGTTACAACAAGCACTAATCTTTTATCTGATTATACAGACTGAAAAAGGAATAATATAGATTTTAGGATAGTTAATAATAAAAATCAAAACACCTCTTTGATTTGATAAGTGTTATCAAATAGTGCTTATCATGGCACTGTTTATTAGTGCATGCGTATTCTGTAAAGTTTAGACTGAATTTTTTCGAAAAAACAAAGCTTTTATCCTAGAACCACTGACCTGTAATTTATATTATATATATGTAATGTAATATATATATATATATTATGTAATATATATATAAATATGTTATACATGTCTGATTATAATTAAATCTGTTTCAACAAAAGCGAACATTAATTTTACAAGAAGCATTTTTAACCCTGATACTGCCAGCGGCCCCGTTTGTTTAAACGTTCAAATTTTTTTCATAAAATTCATAAAAGCGTACATATCAAATTGGCCCCAGCAGTTTTCGCACACGCCATGCACTGCGAGTTGGCAGTAAAAGGATTAATAACCGCATGAAGAATAAATCCATAATCTATCAGTCTGGTGATTCTAGTATTAAACAAAAAACAATTGTATTCCTTATTCCCAACTATTCACATCTAAAATCATTCTCTGCCTTCCTACATCCTATACCATACCACATTTTATACAACATAATATTTTACATATAATCGTTAGTTCAACGTCTTTACATTTCAAGTGTACAGTCCTTTTAAATTTCACATGCGATTCACGATGGATGAAATTTTTCTCGTTGAAACTTCTCTATCCGAGAATCACCCGTTTTCTCTCTAAAACAAAGCTGGCTTATTATTCTTACACACACGGGGGTGGCAAACGTCATGTACAATCTTGACAACGTGCATCGAATCCATCGGCAACAATCAATCAGCATTACATTCACTCGACTCTTAGTTTCTCCTTCTGTGGGTTATTTCGGATCGTATACTTAAAAAAGAAAAAGAAAAGAAAAGAAGATCATCTCTCTTTTTTCTTCTGTTACACAGCATTTTCATTTTAGCATCGTGTGTCGTCAATTTCGCGATTATTCCCTGGTGCTCGTTTGGTTTTCCCTCTGGAACGTGCCGCCAATCGGAAGTCAGGACTCAAAAGAAGCCGAGGAGAGAAGGAAGAAGCGATCCTCGACGAACCGATCCGCCAAGTTTCCCTGAACAGAGCAGCTCGAAAGCGGGCTGGTGACTCTCCATAGTGGCCGACGTCCACCTGCTTCTCGTTCCTCGAGCTTTCTCGACTTTTTGTCAGGTAACGAAGAGCCTGGCGGTCGAGTTCACCAAGTGCCTCAGCCGTGGTCACTCGAGACTTCGTAGCAACACGACCATCTCGCGGAACAAGGCACCTAATTTACCTGGCGTCGTTTGTTTCTTCAGTAAAATACCTCTGATCGTCGTGAACTTCTCGTAACAGGAGAGGCACTTGTGGTATCTGTGTGTGCGAAAGGAATTATCATTTTAATTACGTAGTAGTCTGACGGTGGGGACTCTGTCTTGACGTCAATCATTATAAGAGGAAAATTTCACATACAGATAAACTCATTCTCAAAGATTCATCTTTGTGGTTTGACAATTTCTTTTCTCAATATAAATTTTCAGTTGATCGACTTGAGAAATGAATGAACATAAGACAAGTGACTCGCGAATAATTCGTATCTGTGTGAAATATAGAGTTCGATGTCGAGGTGTACCTTTTCTTTTTAATCATATCTTTTGAGAAAAATGTATACTGACCGTTCTTCTCGCGACACGTCCACGCCGATCGTGTGGAGAGGAGCTTCCACGTTCGACTTGATTACCGATGCAAAGTTTCGCAGGATCAATCTCAATGCCGAACATCCCACCGTTATATACCTGAAACAATAACAATAATAATAGTTATGTAATAAATATATAATAATACAATAATAATATATAATAAAACCAACATATTGTTGTGTCTTTTAATAATTAAAAATCAACTATTAATGATCTCTCGAGTAAAAAAAAAATGGAATGCAAAATCACAATCACCGAAAATGAAGAAAAATTCTATAAATCATCCGATCACTCGTTGCACAATATCCTGAAATCGCGTTTTTCAGAAGGTACGTCGGATTCACGAAAGAAGAAAAGGACGAGAAAGCCTCGGTTCTGACACCACCTCTGATGCTTGTCACGGCTAGTTTGTTCCAAAACGTGTTATTAGCCCATAACGATGCCAATAAATAACGAAAGGCACGAAAGGCTTGGCCCCGCGATTCGATACGCTCGCTTTCGACCGGCGATAAAGGGTTCACGCGAGCTCCCGTTCGAATCAGCGAGACGAATCGCACGGGACCGCCTCATAAATGTCCCACATAACGTTCAACGTTCGTCTTACCGTCTCCCATAAACATTCTGTATCACGATTACCCACGGGAAAACGTATATTCTTCGCGTGAAATGTTTCTCAATTTACCATTGAAATTATTAGCACCTTTTTTTAAGAATCTTCTTTAAAAGCTTCTGACAGCACATTTCTTAAGTAAAGACTTCTTAGTTTTCTCAAACTTTAATAATTTTGTTGGATTTTCATCTTCATAAAAAAAAAAAACAGAGAGGAATTATCTCGTATCGTCAATTCTCTGCAATTTCAATTTAGCAATTCCACAAGTTTTCATTTTTTGACACGCAATTCTTTTTAAATGTCCTCTTTATCCATGAAAGATTTCGAAGGAGGGGAAGTATCGACGAATCGGAAAACGATTCGACCGTGGAACAACCCTCCGTCATGCGGCACGCGACATCGGATATCAAATATTCATCGGCGCGTTCCTTTTTTTTTTTTTTTTTTTTTTCTCACGAACCTACCCACTTTTGACCAGGACGAAAGCCCGTAACGAACGAGCCGTGAAAATGGCGAATAGTTACATGCAAACCGAGCTGCATTACGACGTCGAGATGTGTATATTTAGCTGGCAATTTCCTGGCTCGATTCACCCTTTCGGTAGCTGTCGAACCATGACTCGAAAGTACTGTAATCAGTACAAAACTCGTAACGAATGGCACTCAAAGTTTAGGGCTTTCATTTGCAACTGAAACCTGCTTATGGAAACCATGAAAACCTTTGTAAAAATGTTTTTCACGCTTCTTTGAAATTTAGGCTGAATCTAATTTAAAAAAAAAAATAAGTCTAAAGAAATCTGAGATATTTAGATAAACGTCTCACCTGTCCTCTAAATCCTAGAATGTATGAATTATCTTTAAATTTTTATAATTAATCTTTAAATTTTTATAATTAAATTATCTTTAAATTTTTATATTTAATCTTTAAATTTTTATAATTAAATTATCTTTAAATTTTTATATTTAATCTTTAAATTTTTATAATTAAATTATCTTTAAATTTTTATATTTAATCTTTAAATTTTTATAATTAAATTATCTTTAAATTTTTATATTTAATCTTTAAATTTTTATAATTAAATTATCTTTAAATTTTTATATTTAATCTTTAAATTTTTATAATTAAATTATCTTTAAATTTTTATAATTAATTTAAATAATTATTATCTTTAAAAGGAAAAATTTCCTGCTTAACAGAGATGTGAACTAACGCGCTAATTATCTGTATTTACCAGAGATTAAATGACTAATTCGTAGCAAAAAGATTACGAAATAAGATTGATCTTAATCGTCTTGTTTCGCAATACAATTCTATCGATCGTAGGATCTTCGTTACAACTGCTTTACAATTATAACTTTCTCGTAAATTTCACGATCAACGAAAGCGTGTGATAATTTGACGATAACTTGTTTTCGCTTCGCATTGATCGTATAGCGAAACAGATGCATTAAAATGCAGAACAGACAGAGAAAAACGGGGACGAAGAAACGGACTTGACTTGTTACGCCGAGTAATTGTGAATGGCAGCTGCCGAGCGACCAAGAAATTAGTTTGAATTTACTTTTATGGTATCGGCTACAGGTTTCTGAACGGACGTGATCAATGACTATAAACGGTCAACAAATAAACCAAAGAAACGAGAAACTTGTACCTGCGTGTAACATTTTCTTTCAATGCTCATTCATGCTCGGTAAATGTTTACATCCGATTTGAAATTAAAACTGATAAGATAATTAATCCTTATGTGTACAATTTAATATGGATAATAGTATGCAAGACGTTAGTTAAGTTTTGGAATATTTTTGTAATCAAATGACGTAACCAATACACTTTTGAAATTTAAAATTAAATGACAATTTGCGATTACCAATTTTTTTCTAAGCGTAAAATCCCAATTAAGATTTAGAAGAGAGACTAAGAAAAGATTAAAAGGACATAGATGTCTGACCAAAGATACAGAATAGTCGACAATATAGTAAATGAATAAGAATAACAGACAATCGTAATTCTTAACAAATTGTGCGATCGTCATTTTCCTTTTTTTCTCGTTTTGTTCTAATAATAGCGATGACAAGCAAGGAGGAAAAGTGCGGAGACGACGACGGTCGTAATAACTAACGAATAGAACGGCAATTTTCCAGACTGGTAAACTCGCATTCTAAACGGATATGCTATTATTAGATCGCTGGATTGTAGAATTGATATTGGCATCTCATTCGTTCGATTAACGCCAGAGAGCTTATCTGTACATATCTAAATTTATTTCACTAAAAGAATTTACACCGATCGAATTGGCAAAATCGATTTTAAGGCAATTCAGATGCAGTTCCATCGCAGATTGCTCAACGAAATTCGTACTTTCCTTTTCTTTTAAACGACGTTCAAGGCGAAGCAAGTATAGAGATATATGCGGCGTGCGATCCGTTCGATGTTAATAGGCGTGTACGATTTATAATGCGCATTGTGTGCGTAATTAGAGGAAGAATGGGGCAGGAAGAAATGGATAACCAATGCACACGTGAAAGGAAATGCTCGTTTCTCGTCATGACAGCGCAATAGGCAACAGTTTGTTACTGAACGTCAGTTTAATTGCATTGTTTCAAGCATCGATCGCACGAGCTATTGCATTCTTCCGCCTCTTATCTAAAACTATTGTCAGCTAAGAATTTACAATTATCGAATTATTATCAAATGATTATATTTCTTTTTTTTTTTTTTTTGTATGCTTTAAATAAGCATCGAGACTACCATCGAAAGTATGTTTTTCAAGAATGCGTCACAGCCACATTCAACATCCTACGCCATCGTTAATATTTATGATCGGTTGTCAGGCCAAGAAAGAAAAGGATTTACTGTCCGTAACTGTCCATGGAGTGCGTCAACATATGCCTGGCCCTTCGAGTTTCAAGATTGAACAATAATACTCGCCGACAGCCGAGGATCCGAAGCTCGAATTTGCATCTGCCACTGTCTTCTATTGTCTCGGCTAATTTTCACGAACCCTCCGTTACTCGTCAGCCTTCTCGCTTCGTGTTTCCCCGTTCGTCGAATTAGCCATTCCCATACAGGCCACGTGAAGTGCGCGCCACCCTACTTGAAATACCCTGTTTGCCCATCCGCCATTCGAGAACTCACCCTATATACAAGGGTGAGTCTCGATTTTCTCTAATTCACCGAGCGTGTTACGTTTCACGATGGAAATTGAAGTAACGTTAGAGGACACGCGTGAACAGGCATGTGTCACAAACTTTTAATGCGAAGTGTTAGTGACAAGAGAAAAAGATTTAAATAAAACTTTATGTTAAAAATGTAGAGAAGGAAAGAGATAAAAACGCGTCAAAGAAAGGTCTTTACTCACATTTCATATTTACTTTGTAGTAAATCACCAATCGGACCGAGCAGAGAGTTACATAAATCCAAGTTCCACATGGTTCTGTGAAAAAAAAAAAAAAAATTGCAAAGATTATAAAGACTGAGAACTGATAATTTCCTTCAATTCATAAAATCACGCACTTACGGTTTTAATGTAAGTATTCCCAATAGATCGACAATAATTGAAAGATCGTTCATTGCCACAGCAGAATCCACCGCAGCCTGAAAATTTAATCCATCTTTACAATCTTGTCTCATTTACCGTTTGATAGCAAAAAGCTGAACAAATTACCTTAAGATCTTTATTGTGCCATAGAGAATAAATAATTTGTAAGGAACGATGGCGACTTGTAAGTACCGCCATCATCGATTCATGACCGCGCATCATGCTATTGAGTACTTCAGCTTCCGACATCTCGTTGAGAACTCCCATTTGAGAGTAATCCAAACCGGCTGAACTCGCATAATGATTCTACCAGAAAAAAAAACAAAAAAACAAAAAAGAAAGGATACAATTTTACAAGATCATTTTGCAAACCTACGTCGTATGTTTATGGATTCGATAATAAAAAAAAAAAACTCACTGGTAGAAAAGTTTCTACGTCCAAACCGTACGGTTTATCGGCACTTATGGGAACAAATGCTCCTTTATCCGTATTTTCGACGTTCGGCCTTATCTGAGACGCGCGAATCTCTAACTTAGGATTCGGGGACACTTGAGCTTTGTTTGATTTCTTTGTGACGAATGTCATGGTTGTGGAAGCGTTGCGCGCGGACAGCGACGTTGAGGTAGCAAAGTTTCTGTTCAGCGAAGTGGATCTAGATTGCGCAGAATTTGGCCTGTTTAACGCAGGATCGGAGGGGCTGTGCCTTATACTATTAATTCTGCAAGAATGTTAAACGCGTTTCCGATAATTATCACTGTTGCATAACATGTTAATAATCTACGCTACAAGTGTCTATACTTACTGTACCGGATAATCGCTTTCGTAACCCTGTTCTCCGTCTCTACAGCTACTTTGTCTTTTCAAATAATGTTTAGGAGAATCCGGGCTAGGTGCTCTATTCTTTAATTTTCCATCGTCCATTACTGGAAGAACAGCAGCCATTGGTGCTACACGTGGTGTCAGCGTAGAATTTGATCTTTGCGGGCCCAAAGGTTGTGGAAGTGTTCCTATATCACTAATAGAACTGCCTTTTTTCCCAGGAAGAGGTGTAATGTTTTGTCTTAGAGGTGGTATAGACGCGAGAGTTTTCGATGTTCTGCCAAAGCCGTTATTAGCTTGAAGATTCGCTTTTATTTGGCTAGTACTCGTAATTGTATTTCTTTGAACTGGCGGTGACGATTTCATCGGTTGAACACGAACTGGTACAGGCTTTATTAACGACAACGTTGGTGCGGGTGGAGGTGGAGATGACGGCGACGAGATAGGTGGAACTTCTTCTGTATCCACCGTGTTTAAGTTTGACATTGAGGTAGAAAGATTTTGCAGTATCTGCGGTTGCGTAGGATCTGTAAAAAGAAACGTGGAAGGATGAACGTGAAGTTGAACGTTTCACGCGATACACACAGATATTTGTACATTGACATTCATCCAGTATTGGTATAAAAGACAGAAATAAGCGGAAAGTTTTTATTTTGATACAGAACTCACCCACATCTTGAGGCTCCGGGAAAGCCTCAGGTTCTGGAGGTGGAGTGCGAGACACTGAAACATATCGTGCGTAGCATGCTCATTCACAAACCATACAGCACAACATTCATATTCAGGATGCATTTGTATTTTCAGATTTGTGATGATAGGCGAGTAATTAAGAGTTAGAACAAAAATAGAACTTGAATGTGTTATGAGACACAGATCTTGCAATAAAGAATAAGTAATAATGTTTTACTTACATGACCTGTTAGGTTGAAAAATATCGCGATATTCAGTGACATTGGGAATATCTGCATACGTTGCTTCATCTTCAGGGTCAGTTCCAGACTTGTCTGCTTCTTCTATGGTTCGTACATCTAATCTATAAGCAAAACATTTAATAGAAGTCTATAAAAATATATGAAAACTACTTTTTTGCAAAACTTACGTATGCTTCTTTAATCCAGGTGGCCTTTCCCTAGAAAAACTTTTCCGTAACGAATTCCCGTGACTAAATGGAGAACCGGATGTCGTTGAGACTCCTCCTAATGGAGCGATTTTCTTTAAGTCACACACATACAAGACAATATTTGCAGTGTGAAAGCTTGCACCGATCTAAATAAACAATAAATAAAAATCTTAATTTATAAAACATTACGTATACAATAAACCACTTAAATCAACTTACCAGCTGATTCTGAGCGATAGCTATATCTTGTACCTTCCCCCAGCCAGTTGGAATAGAATCTAATGTTCTACCTGGTTCCCAGCCATAGACTTTTAATACATCATGGCAACCAGCAAAAAGGCATTCTCCACCTTGACTGAAGTAAAGACATCTACTCAAAGAATAAATATTTATAAATGACTGGAAATCTTTAATGGCCATAAATATCTTGTACAATTTATGAATATCCACCTGATTGCAGAAGAATGAGTTTGGTCAGTGGAAGATACAAGTTGAAAAGATTCCAAGTCCCAAAAATGAACTGTTCTATCTGCACTTCCACTGGCTAGTAAGAATTCATGAGGATGAAATTCCACTGTTGTTGCTGGGCCTCTGTGTTCAGAAAACTCCTTCAACTGTCTACCAGCTCTTAAATCCCATAACTAATTCAAAAAAGAAAACATTGATTAATTATATTAGTTGGCACTGCATCAAAATAAGATTTATATAACATTTACCTTAACCATCCCTTCCTCGCCTGCACTAGCAATCCACTGACCATCAGGACTAAATTTTAAACTGTTCACCATCCTATTGTGTCCCTTATAAGTGAAGATACAACCTTTTCTTCTGATGTCCCAAAGTTTTATAGCAGTGTCTAAACTTCCTGATGCTAATAATTCCCCATAAGGATGAAAGTCCATACAACGTATACCTGCTTTGTGTCCAGTTAATGTACGGGCTAATTTAGCATGTTCTAAGTCCCAGATTTTTAATGCTCCTGTTTGTGAACCAGCACATACTAAATCTTCCGTTTGTCCAAATCTAACACATTCTATTGAAGTGGTATGACCACTCAGGCTCTGTGAACCAACAAATAAAAATGACACAAATATCAGATAGAAATACTATCGACGTAAAATACAATTTAACTAATTTTCCAGTTGAAATATTCTTTTTGAATCAAACAACTGCAAGTAAAAGATGAAACTGTACCATAATACAATTCTGCTTTCCAACTGCCCATAGATTTACTTTCTTGTCATCACCACCAGTGACCAAAACGCGTCCAGACTTGTGACCTAGTGCCAGGCAATTGACATTGGCCGAGTGGGCAACAAAATCCTCTGTACAAAGAGAAACGGATTATTATTCTTTCAAAGTGACCTGAACAAAATGTCAGCTACCAATGACATCATACAGACAGTATATTTTCGATTTAAAAAGAAGGTTATGACCATAACAGGGAGACGCAGCAAACAATTAATTATTGGATTAAATCGAAAGATTTGTAAACACGAGTTGTTTACTTATCCCAAGGAAGAAAGAGCGCCAGGACAGAATCCGTTGGACGCACACCGAACCGACATGCAATAAGTAAAGAATTACGAACGAGACGATCACTTACGGAGTTTCCATGACCTCTTCGTGGACGAAGCCATATTCTGGGACCACAGAATTGCGTTGTGCACGACTTATTTGGCAACGACAACAATTTGAGATTTCAGCTTGCGGATGCAGAATTTTTTTTTGCTGGAATTTGTACGTAACATTTTTACTTAGTGTTATTATTCAGTGCAGGAACGATCGTTCAACGGGGCGGCAGCATCTCGCCGCGTTCTGGTCCTGAGGGCAATTCTTTCCTTGAAACTTCTGACCGTTTTCACAAACCGTTCGTTCCACCTCTTCGTCGTATCTCATTTCTTGAATCTGCCTGCCCGTGGGTAGCGCGAACTAACGTGACGTTGAAAAATATCGAAGTTCTGTTTCTATCGAGATTACGTTCCAATTGATCGCACCAGATGTCACCAGTTCTCCGGTCAATTGAATTCTAACCTTAACATGTGTTAGAACAGGCGGGCGGATTGATCATCGAAACAAAACAAAAAAAGAAGTGCGATAAAACATTATTGGGAATTACGTAAGTTGCACGTGACGTAACGAGAATTTGTGGTCTATTGTAAACATTTATAAGTGAGGTTATAATCGTCGAATTAATTTTACTACGACGTATATGATGAACAGATTGTTTGCATTTAATCACTCGCGCGCGCTCGCGATTGAAATTAATTCACTTTACTCTCGGATACCCAAAAGGTATTGCGTGAAATATGTGCAAGGACAATCTCCGGAATCTAGAGTTCGCGAATATTTTTATTATATCGACCACCAAGGCATGGTACAATTCGCTTTTATAATTAGATTTATGTTCAAACGTATAAAACTTTAGAAATGACTAATACATTTGCTCTATTTTATGTGCTGCAGTTGTTCCTGGATGATGCACGTATGAAAAACTTCACATCATGCTTTAAAGGTGTGCATAAACAATGGGATAATTTATTACATATTCCAATTCATTTATCATGGAAGCCATGTCATTTTAGATAAAAAGTTTTTGGCCTTTTTTTTCAAACGCTTGAAAAAGAATGACACTGGTAGATATGTGGGAGATTTTCCTTATGTCTCTCTTTGCGGTCCAGAGAGAAATTTTGTCAGATGCGATGATTTGCCAATAGTTTTCACGAAAATTTTTAAAAAGGAAGATAGTAAAACAAGTAAAACTGAAAATTGGTTTGGTTATGCTTATGCAGAAGAATTATTAATGGTACAGTTAATCTTACTACTAATTAAATACTTACACATTTAGTCTGGCATTTAATAATAAATTCATTGTAGGTACCATTTCAACCAGACAAAATATATATGGATGTTCAGTCAGGCAGAGTATATCATCCTGCTCCAGAAAAAGCAGGAGGAATTGGTCTGGTGAGATCAAAAATTGCTATTGAACTTAGTCCATTATTTAGTTTTGAGAAAGGAGAAGAATATGGTCCAACTCATATCATTTGGGAAGATAAAAAATATACTTTAGATCATAAATGGTATAAGAATGAAGAACTACAAGCTGTCAGATAAAAATAAATAAACTTTATTCTTAATTCAAAAAGGAAACAAAGCACAATATATAAACAACTTTCATAAAATGTACATATATTTTCAATGATAAATAACAAAGATTTGTAATTATCCTCTATCTAATAAGTTTTGTTAAGGTAAAGATGAAATATCAAAGATTCTAGCTGTGGAATCATCAGATGTAGTTAGTGCTTTCTCTCCATTTCTAAAAATTGTTATCGTTTGTATATTTTTATTAAAAAAATTTCTATTAAAGAACAGACGAATATCTGTATTTTCTTCAACTTACTCAGATATATATAAGTCGAGAATATCTGCTGTGTGTCCAATAAATGACCGTAGACATTGACCACTTTTTCCATCAAAACATCTCAGAATACCATCTAATCCCGCTGAAAACAATATACTCGTGTTCCCTTTCCATAAAAGTTTAGATATACCATTTTCTTGCTCTATCTTTTGCCTAAGCACCTAAATAATAATAAAAGTAAAACGATAACAATAATGATTAAAAGTGACTAATCTAAAATGCTAAAGTTACAATACCTGTTTTGAGATATCCCAAATGAAAATTTCTCCATTAATTGTACCAGTTGCAGCAATTTGAAATGCAGGATCCTTACAAAAAGCTGCTGTTTCTACCCAATTGTTATAACAATTTCCTTCATTATTTCCTTCTTGATCAATATTCACATTATTATACTCGCCATGATTAAGATTTTGCAGAATGGAAACTATCTAAAATTTTTAAATCATTAATACGATTTATTCGAAGAAATTTTTATTTTTATATTACCTTCCCTGTATTTGAGGTACTGATTATAGCTTTACCATCTACAGCTGCAGAAAGCACTAGATTGTTATCCCAATGACAATCAATAGTGGTTATAGAAGAAGAATGACCTACTGCAGAAGATATGGATGACAACACAGTACTTGTTTTTAAATCTAATACTCTAATAACTCCATCTTCATAACCCACTGCTATGCGCTTGCCTAAAATATCACATCCAGTCAAGTTATATTTTTTTCAATTACAAGATAAGAAATGCAAATACCATCTGGAAATATTGCACCAGTCTCTGCCCGGCAACCATATCCCTGAAACACTTTACAATCTCCATCAGGTATTTTCCACATGTATATTTCTCCATCGACAGATCCTGCTAATAAAACATTAGCAGCTGTATGCCACATCATCCACTGCAACAATGTAAATAATATTTTAATTCATTGACATCCATGATAGTATTCAATTATGAAAAATTAACTAACAGTGGCATCTCCCATGTTGTAATCCCAAATCTTAGTTTTATCAACTAATTTCCAAACTTGTATCATTCCACTCATATCCCCAGTAGCCAAATATGATTCATCATGATTAAATGCTGAAAAGATAATACTATCTTTATGACCTATACAGTCCAAAATGATTTCTCCTGATGATGTATCCCAAATGTAAGCTTTATCTTCTTCTCCACCTGTGGTAGCTAATTTTCCATTTTTACTTAATGAACCACAAAAGACAGAACCTAAAATTTACATTAATTCATAATTAAGTTAACAATACATAAATATAATCATAACAATTGAAATGTTCTTTACCTCGTTTGTGGCCACTGAAAACACAAATTGCATCTCCGTCTTCTGAAGGATCTTCCTCCATCACATCGTTCTCTTCAACATCTCCTGCATTATATGCATCTACAACTTCTTCTACATCTCCTATGTATATCATATCCTCATCATCTACTTGATTAGACATGTCTGGAGAAGACGGCGGAGTATCTTCGTGCATGATTTACCTTAAAAACTTAATAAAGCGTGCAACAGGTCACGCTTTAAAAAGATACAAATATATTTAACTAGAAATCACTTAACGTATATAAAATTTTAGTAATAATGATATTATCTCACGAAAAAGTGTGCGTCTAGTTAAAATCTTTCAACTGGTCTAAGTAATAAAATCACAATTTCTAGTCTGTCATTTGAAAAAATAGAAATTCAAATGCTCGTCAACAACAATCGGAGTTTGGAAGCACCAGCTGATTTGGAGATTAGATGTTACAGAAATCATAGGGAATTTTTCTCAAGTGTTATTGGCAATATTTATGATTATAGTCTTATGACAGTGGCGACATCTTCTCAAAAAAAAGTAATAAAAGATTACCATCTGAAGAAAAGTAGATTTTCTTCAAACAAACAGATTTTATTCAAACATTTTAACTTTTAAACTTGAAACTATACAATTTACAATTAAGACCATATATTTGTATTAAATAATTACAGTTTCTTGAGTATTGATTAAACATGTATGTTATACATATTTTATTATTAATGATAACGAGGCGACAAATAACTGTATCAAATTCTCCGTCCTCTTTTTTCATGATTTTTACACATCGAAACATTAGTTAACTGTGTGCTAATCATATTCGTTACTTATAGTTTGTGTAACAGATAACTACTACATAAATATGCACTTTAAGTATTTGTACGATTTGGACGTATATAGTTGTCACGTCAATCCACACTTCTATTTCATCATCCGCCTCATCCGTTCTGCTATTCGCTCCTCGTGCTGTACTCTCTCTCTTTCTCTCTAATAGCGCTTGCTTATACCTCTTCGCCTCTTCGCCTCAAGATAGTGCTATCTCTTTTTACAAGTGTATACGCCCGACAACCGGCAGTCTCGGTCAAGTAACCGCAAAGTGTATACGTTGCAGTCAGGCCTTCCAAATTCGTCAATGTCTGTCGTCAACTTAAATCGCAAAAATTCCAATGAAACTTTCACAAAAAGCAAGTCAATTAGTTCAAAGATTTCTACACGTTCGAAGGTCGCAAAAATTGATCGCCAAATTATCAGCTCATCGACGATCCCTCGAAGAGAGAATCGGCCAAGTAAAGTCTCGACGAACATCTGGAAGATTAATTGACCATAAAGGTAATTGACTGCAAATATTCAAGATTTATATGGATAAGTTCTGATATTTGAGAAATGGCCGAGGGAGTGTTGGAAAAGTACCGCGTGGACGACGAAAAGAAGAACAGATATATAATGATTGGCCAGATGAATAGGATAATAATCCTGTAAAATCACCAAGCGAAAGTGGGAGTACGTGAATTAGAATGTTGGGGTGGGAGTGAGTTTCTTAACAACGAGCTTTAAAGTACACACCAGTCATTGGGGCAAAAGCACGGTGGAACCACGTGTGTCGCTTGTCAAATTGATTATTTCACGTTGTAACTTCAGATGATGAAAGAGAAGAAACAACGACGGATGTTCCTTTTAACTGTTCGTTCCTCGTCTGAGATAATATTCAACTGATAATATCTAATACAAGAACGTAAAGATTTCGAACGTCGAGATTGTTTTAAGCGTAAATGGCACCTGAAATTGATCAGTTATTCGCTCAAAGAGTTATACGAGCAAATTGAGGTAAATGCATTTGCGCAGAAAGCAAAAAAAGTCGAGTAGCAAGTGGAAATTGCTTTTGCAAGATTATTTTTAAATAGAATCGAGATATTTGCTTGCTTGGAACCGAAAGCAGGAGGAATATACAAATAAAATTCGAGGAGATATGCTACATTCGAAGAAATACAAAAGTAGAATTGATCGACGATTTGAAGAAAGAACATTGGCTACGTTTCTCTTTACAATTTCTCAAAATGGAAGCTAGAAGCAACAACAATTCTCTGTGGGTATTTGGATATGGATCGTTGTGTTGGTACCCTGGTTTCAAGTACAAACGAAGCGCCGTAGGACACATTAAGGGATTCAGCCGAAGATTTTGGCAAGGGAACATAACTCATCGTGGCACAGCAGAAAAAGTAAGTGGTCCGGTGGTAAGTCCCATCTGTTTTTTCCTTCACCGGATAGCCCAAGTTTCTCAGAAATATCTATGTTTTTTCTTCGGAGTGTACACATATTTCAGTCTGTAACGTGACGCGAGAAACAATCACACAATTCGAAGTTAATGTTAATCGTTTTACATGGTGAAACAACTGCAAACGTAAATATTTAGAAATACATTGAGATTTACAAAATATTAAAATATTATATAATTATAAATATTATAAATATAATAAAGTAATTTGTTCCGAAACACGCTGATGCAGTGTAGTGTTGTTTCGAAACATTTCATTGCGAATATTCACGTCGATCTGCTCAAATCATTTTGACTTTGAATAGAATTCAACGATGGATCGAATTTTTTTTTTTTTAATATACAATCTCCGTCTCTGTTCTATTTATATCTTTGATTTTCTTATTCTTGCGCGCCATTCGCCACGTGTATTCTTTCACAAAACTTTGGCAGTCGTCCACATCGGTTTTTGTTCGACCAATGAACATATTTACGACAGATACGCATCGGAAATTAAAAATACGTATTTCCAGTTCGAAGATTATCTACGCGTTATCTTTCCCGTTTCCTCAGAGGAAATTTATCTCGCTGTTTCGATGATCTAAACTGAGAGTTCTAAGAAGAGTAAGAAATATTTAATAAAGGGCAATTCTCTTAAATATCCGGCACAGCGTAATATTTGTGGAGGAACGTGTACGCCCCAATAAGTACTTACGGATGTCTCCATTAAGACTGATGAAAATCGGATACAGTTTCACCTGACTAGCTGGCCGCTCTAATTTCTCCAATTGAATGCAACAATATCATCTGACAAATATAAAATATCCCCCTCGTTACACATTCGACTATTTTTGACCATCATTCTCGGCTTTATTTTATAATCCATTGCATTTATTTTCGCATCATATAGACAAGATTTATCAAGGCAAGAATTTTTCTTGATCCCGTGTTGCAGTTGCCTGTCATTTAACGTGAAATCAACTCGCAGAAACTGATATCTTTCGCGAGCACGTAATTTTCTTCTTTGTATTCGCTTTGTATGCACGTAATTTATATCATTCTATCGTATAATAAAAAGACTCGCTGCTTCTTTTATTCCCTCCGCAATCGATGTTACACATAAGTTGTTCGTTTAGTCATTTGTCGCCCTATTTTTGTTGCAGCCTGGACGAGTGGCGACGTTGGTCGAAGAAAAAGAGGTGATCACCGCTGTGAAACTTGACTTAATATCGGCATTTACAAATTACCACATTTTTCTTGTTATTTAATCTGCGGATTATGCGTTAAGCCTTCAGTAATTATTTGTTACATTAGGTACTTTCGTTTTGTAATACACGCATTTTTTTCTTTGTCAACAGGGTGTTGTTTACGGACGAGCATTCCAAGTTCAAGATAGCGCAGCGTTGCCTTACTTGGAAAGTCGCGAATGTACTTTGGGGGGATATGTGTCGACAATTACTACGTTTCATACTCGCGAAGGGAACAGGAGTATCCCGGTCATAACATACATAGCTACTAATAAAAATGAACATTGGCTCGGCGAAGCGCCGCTTCATATTATCGCTAAGCAAATTTCCGAATGCTCCGGCCCAAATGGACACAACGTCGAATATCTTTTACGGTTCGTTTTAGCGCGAGTAACGTCATTCGGTTATATTTTTAAATTGTTGAGTTATGCTGTCCTTTACATTGTGTTCCGTGTGTCACGAACAGATTAGCTGAGTTTATGCATCGTTATCTACCAGAAGCTCACGATGAACATTTGTACAAGCTGGAAGTATTGGTACGTTCGAGAATAAAGGAAATGAATATGTGTCTGGATACGCTAATGGGCGACCGAGACTTCAGTATCGACCTCGACGACATCGATGGCAAGGATGAGGATCACGACGTGGTTACCAGTAACGCCACTAAAAATCTTAGGAAAAATTCTTTCCAATTCACTCTTCAAGTACCTGATAAGACTATGCGTTGCCTCAAAATGTAATCCGCATTTTTTACATTAATATTTATCGAATGCCTGGACATCTGCAATCATGCGGGATTGTCAAAAAGCAAGGTTTTATATAATTAACAACAATAATATAGATAATATTCTTTATAGATATTTATGTAAATACGTTCGTTTCGAGATCAATGTACATATTGAGTAGCTAAATATTATAGACTAATCTTCGTACGAACGTACTTCAAGCACAAACAAAACTGTATTTTGATATTTTAGTATTTTAAAATGTATTTGCACATTTGAATATCGTATTTTCATTTTTGAATGTGCTGGATATTTAAAATTATATTCTTTTAAAGAAAATTGTGCCTTAATTTGGGGAGAATACAAATATGGTGCATTCCTTATTTATAAATTGTAAGTTAAGATGAAAAATTTTGTATTTGAACTTGCAAAATTTTTATTTATAAAAAAACAATGATTAAATATATTACGGTACGCTTCTTTTTCTAAATCCCATATGTAGTTTTATGTATTTCTAAATCTTAAACATTTCTTCTATTTGGAAAACAGAAATTTACTGCGCTATCTAAAAAAAAAGATGAAATTAGAGCTAAGTCGATAAAACAGGAATGATATACCATCCGAAATGTAAAAAAAACACCTACAGATGATATATAGGAATCTACAATTATGCATCGTTGATAATTGCACAAGTTACTTCATCAACTCTTGATAATAATTGTTATTTCCATGTATATTGACTAATTAGAGGTATACCTCGACTATGATTGGACATTTAATGCTTTTCTTTTCGTGTTCCATGTCATATACATCGTCTGTATCCATGCTTGGAGATCATCTGACCCTCATACCATTTTCATGTCACATTCTACCATATCGATTTGAACAGGTTTTGCACTGCAGCGCCACAGGTAATAGGAATTAAAATCAGAAAATATGAATAATGTTACATCTGTATCGAAAATTATTGAATTAAACGCTTTCTTATTTGCATATCTATTCTTAAGAGACGACCAATTTAACGTTTGACTGTGATATAATTACTTTCTACATAAATTAGTATTACACGTCACAGACTTATAAATTAGCATTTAGTATGTGTCGACAGAATTATAAGTTAACAACTAACCGTGCAAACGAGATTTGGGTTAGGTTTGATAGACATATGTCATTGCGCGACATAAGGAGTGATATTTATATGCAATATTTTAAAAGATCAATGTATAAACGTGCAACAGAAATGAATATACTCCTGGATATGGAACGCTGGTTGAACTTTCAATTGCCATTATTTCATACAATGACTTTATTTTTGGGTAATTTGAAGTAATTTCCATACAATCTAGAAAATACTTTATGTTACGTTTCAGCTCTAATTCTACATCTGATTCAATCGGACAATATATAGCGCATTCACCTTTCAAAATGTTCTCAACATCGTCTTTACAGGCACACTCGTGTATTACCATGTACAAAGATCGTGGAACTGTGATTTGCAATCAACGAAAATTACTTGTGAAAGGATAAACTAATTAAAGGAAACGTCTGCACGCGTTACTGACACATGATTTTCATAATTTTCGGTAGAAGATACAAGGAAAAGGGAGCATGGAATTCCTGGTTACGCCGTGACGACGTGGTGAGCCTCGAAGATCTTCGTTATTATTTCAGCGAAACGAAGCGTGTATGAGGTGCACGCTCGAGTTGGCTCCTGTACGAGTTGTTAACTTCCTCGTGCGGATTCTGACCAATTTATTACACACAGAATTCGTCGTTTCTTTTTCGAAATAAGTAGCCCGAAAATCACTCGAGGCTCTTACAAATAATCAATCTGATCAAGAACGTCGGACTATAGTAACGTTACGTCTCTTCAGTTTCAAACATCTAAACGTATGTACATGTCTAAATAAATATATGCTCACTTCTACTAGTAATTATCGAATGAAATGATCGAAAATATAAAATGTCTCTATTTCAAGAAATTTGCGAATTTTCACCATTATAATGTCCATAGAACGAAATGATCCAAGGAGTAAAATGAACCAAGCGTAAAGTTCTTTCGACAAGTTGGAAAACGTTTGCCTACGATTGTGTTTTGCGACGACTGCACGAAGGAGATCAATGAAGAGAAGGGCAGTACAATTACAACGTGAAAGAACAACGTAACGTTGTGAATGGACGAACGTAATCGACGTAACGCCTGTTCAAGAAGAGTTTCAAGAACCACTTGAAGTTCTAGAGTTGTACGATAGTTTTAACGCGGTTCGTACAGTCCTTGGTTTGGTGGACAATCCGACAGGGAGCGTAGGGAGGAAGAGCTGGAGAAGAGCTCCTTACGGAACGTATGTACGTAAACGAACGTTCGTCACGCATCGTGACGATAAAGCCAGCCAGGTATCTCAGGGATAACGTTACTCCTGGCTACGTGTATGCTGTCCTGTAATTCCATTAATGTACCTCGTGGACAATTTAAAAAGTCTCCTTGTCGTTTTCCACGTTCCAGGTTCCAGCACAATGTTCCAGCAAGCGAGTTTCAGAATCTGCAAAACGAGTTATGAACGATGTATTCAAAGAAAACGCTTGACCGTTTCATTCTAAACGTGTACAGAATGCAGGACCTTCTGGTTATTTTGTCGGAAGAAAGAAGAGAGAGGCTGGAAATTTATTCGCGTCGAAAACATACAGTGGGGTGCAAAATTGAGCCAATAACAAAAATTTTTTATTGTTAAATAAAGTGTAAAAACATGAAAATAAACTTGACTATCTGATTCTTTACAGTTTTAGGAAACTGAAGCTATCTTTTAACTCTTAAGATTAGGTTTCTTCCTGACTGAAAAAATTAAAAAACATAGAATCAATTTTGCACCAGAATTAATTTTTTCACAGTCAGATTTACCATACCTTAATATTTTGTCCATAAGCCATTTGCTGAGATAATAGCTCTAATACGTCTTGGCACACTTTCAAACAGTCTTGAGCAGAAATCAGGTGGCATTTGATTCCACTGTTCTATAACACGAGCATGTAGTTCCATTACTGAGCCAGATGAAGATTTGTATGCGTTTAGAATTTTTTTTTCAATATACCCCATAGATTTTCGATGGGGTTTAGGTCGGGGCTTCGTGCAGGCCAATCTAAAATTGAAAATGCTTGAGTAGTCAGCTAATTAGTTACACTTTTCGCTGTATGTTTCGGGTACGGATCATGTTGAAAAACGATTTCTTCTACAACGAAGGGCATATCTTACATACAATTTGGCAAATATTCTTTTAAAATGTCTTTATACATATATTGATTCATAATCCCTTCAATTTTGTGCAATGGGCCAACACCATCTTCCATCATACACCTCCACAACATATGTTTTTTATATGAGTATATATGTATATATCTCCTCCTAGCTCAGTAATGGAACTACATACTCGTGTTATAGAACAGTGGAATCAAATGCCACCTGATTTCTGCTCAAGACTGTTTGAAAGTGTGCCAAGACGTATTAGAGCTATTATCTAAGCAAATGGCTTATGGACAAAATATTAAGGTATGATAAAGCTGGTAAATCTGAATATGAAAAAATTAATTCTGATGCAAAATTGATTCTACGTTTTTTAACTTTTTCAGTCAGGAAGAAACCTAATCTCAAGAGTTAAATAATAACTTCAGTTTCCTAAAACTATAAAGAATCAGATGGTCAAGTTTATTGTCATGTCTTTACACTTCATTTAACAATGAAAAATATGTTTCTTAAAAATTTTTGTTATTGACTCAATTTTGCACCCCACTGTATTTTCCGTTCGCCAGTGGTTTCCATGAGCTCGCTTTCGTGCGGAAAAGTCGAATACGGTTATATTGTTCGTCACGGTTATTAAACGCGTGTTTCTTTTCTTTTCTATCGTGCACGACAAATATTCGGAGCGTGCATCAATTTGAACCACCCACGAAGAATTTCGATACGACACCGTCCGCACGAACTTACTGTACAATATCTACTGCATTTCAGTCTCGAACAATAAAATGCGCAATAATATTAGAAAGTTTCATTGGTTACACGTAACAAAATATTCCCAATGTCGTGCACCGATCATTTTTATGCAGTATTGAACAATAATGTCGTTTCCTTGGCTCTTCATGGTCGCTGGATTGCCGCAACAATGAAATAAACGCCAGTGCCACCGTTGTATATTTTCCCGCGTTTTTCTGAAAAGTGATTGATATTAAAAAAGGCGGGGGGGAAAAAAAAAACAGTGGCGAGACCGTGGGCCGGTTTAAAAGGCGTAAAGCACGACACATTTTACCGTCGGTGTGGTGTGATTTCCGTCACGTTATTGTGTCAAGTACTCGTGACTAAAAAAAGTTATTATCGCGACGTAATTCCTTCCTCCAAAAAAAAAAAAATACAAACTACAATCTGCAACGCGAGTGAACGCAATACGAAGTTGCAAATTGCCCCCTTGCGAAATATTCTTTGATAAAACGAGTCGGAAGTCATTCGATTACGTTACCGTAAGTGTAAAATTATAAAGTCACAAAGAATTACAAGTTACAAAGTATAATTAAGATATTTCAACGAGTATGTAATTAGTAAGATATTTAATCAACTAAGTTAAAAGTATATTTTATAACTTGTCCCAAAATCGCTAATCCTGGTATCACATAATATATTTAATTATGTGAATTATATTTTAAAATTATAAATTATAAATTATATATTAAAATTATATTTTATGTAAAATATATGTAAATTATATTTTATAACTAATATATATAAATTGTATTTTATATTGTAAATTATATATTAAAATTATATTTTATGTAAAATATATGTAAATTATATTTTATAACTAATATATATAAATTGTATTTTATATTGTAAATTATATATTAAAATTATATTTTATGTAAAATATATGTAAATTATATTTTATAACTAATATATATAAATTGTATTTTATATTGTAAATTATATATTAAAATTATATTTTATATAAAATATATGTAAATTATATTTTATAACTTGTCCCAAAATCGCTAACTCTGGTATCATCTCAAGCTAATCCTAATACTATCCTTCTAAAAACCTTCAGTTCAAAAAGAACATTCACGTTTCGTGAGATTTTTTAACATGAGACACCTTTGTCTCCTAAGTGGCGAGTTGAAAGATGTTTCGTCAAAGAGGAAAGTACATTTTCAACTAATCAAAATGAAAAAGAAAGCCGGCTGCAAAAGTGAAAAAAAAATCTCACCGATCGATGAACGTTGTTTTACAGCGGGACGATTTAAAACGCCACGGATAATGCTCTACATCGATTATCCGTAAGTAATTAAATTACAACCCCCTTGTCGTTGCGTAATACACGAAAGAGTGAAACTACGAATCAATTATTCATCGTATCGTGGAGTAAGAGCGAGTTCGGTTTTTACCGAACGTGAGACCGGTGGCTGGCAATAAAGCGGTAGCCAGCCTCCTCCTTTTGCGGTCCGCTCGTTTTA